TTGTCATTTATGTTGGAATAAACATTGTAAAGAAATGAAAATATGGCATCGGAAGTGTTTTTTTGCTTTTGGAAACCAAACTGGCAATCACTTATTATTTTGTTTCCATTCAGAAAGCACAGGAGTCTTGTTTTAACTAGTTTTTCTATCAATTTAGCCATTGCAGAGATTAGAGAAATTGGACGAAGACTTGATGGACCATTGATGTTTTCTCCCTTTGGCAGTGCTAACACAATCGACTTCTTCAAAAAAACTGGAAAGATTCCTTCTCTAAATGAATTATTTATTAGACTGACTAATATATCGAGTATTCTTATCGGAATATTTTCTAGGATTTTTATAGAGATTTCGTCTGAGCCTGTGGCGTTTTTGTTTTTAATGGAAAATAATGTTTCATGCAGTTCGGTAATATTTGTATCATATAATATAAAGGTGTTCGTAACTTCGATATTCACATAGTCTAAGGGGTCACCGGCTGCTTTTATATTTTTCGTCAAGTCCTCCGCAATAGAGCAATAGAAGTCATTAAGTTCAGTACTTGACCTGGGAATAATTTCATCGTGACTGCAACGTATGAAAAGAAATCTACAAATCTCCATCTAAGTAAGAGAGTATATTCTCTTGCTACAACCAAAGACAGTCCAGACCTTGTATACCGGAGTCGCCTGAATTATGTAATCCATCCCACCTAACTCACGGCAACTGAAAGATTACCTTTAGTGTTCTTCCATATATCCACCCATCCGAGCCACCATTGATGCTAATATATTACCACATTCATAGACCAATAAAAGATAATCGGCCGGCTATAACTCATGCTCGTACCTATTGAGGCTTGAAACAGTATTTGGAAACTGAGAATTTCTCCGCATACACCGACTTGGCTGCTTTGCATTTATCACAGTCCGATTCAGAGTGGAAAATATTTTTCAGCGTGATGGCTGGAACGACAATGGGTGGATAAATTGAGACTTCTGCCGCTTTCTAGTACTTCGAGGTGATTCAGTATACGGGGTAAGCCACAAGTAACTCTGAACACAGGGTGGTCGTGAAACATCAAATTCTACTGAATAAACTTTTCCCTGTTGGTTTCGATAGTCAATTGTTGAATTTACTACAGTCTTATCTTCAGAATCGTACGGTATTTGTAGAATACAAAGGACACATATCAACAGAATTTCACTTCGACTAGTGGTGCTCCTCAAGGAGGTAATCTTGCCCCTCTTCTATTTTCTTCGTTTATGAATGATATTGTTGCAAATATCTCTAGTAACCTATTACTCTTTGCTGATGACTTGAAGATTGTCAGACCCATTGAATCAACCGAGGAGGTGTATACTAAACAAGCTTCCACTGAATATTCAAAAATGTAAATTTATGAAATACACCACCAAGCACAACAATATACAGTTTGACTATGCAATAAATGATGTCATATTAGAACAAAGCACAGAAACTAAAGATCTGGGCATCATATTCGATAAGAAACTTAGCTTCACGTCACAAATCAATCATATCACATCTTCTGCAAAAAAAATGCTTGGCCTTATCTTCAGGACGTGTAGAGACTTTCAAAACCAAGAATGTTTAATAACACTTTTCAATGCAAATGTCCGATCTCGTCTGGAATATAGCTCCCTAATCTGGTCACCTAATACAATGTGCATATACAGCAACTCGAATCTTTATGAAATACATGGCTACGTTCGTAACAAACTATTTTTTATGCAAGTCGAACTACAATCTAATTACAACCCATAAGTGAAATACTGTGTTTCAAGTCTCTGCACACTGCCAATTCTATCAGAATTCTTCAGTATATGTTTCTTTTTTTATTATTATATGAATGTATCACTGTTTGTATGATATACTACTATATTACTCTGCTGATTTTATATACTATTCGTTATATTCCATTGTACTCATACTTAGTCATAGCTGTAAACTTAATTATATTTATCTTGTAATTGGGATTACTCCTGTTAGACAATAAACCTTGTTTTTAATCATTATCGGGTGGAAAATATTGGTGAAAATTCCTGAAACGGGTGTGTTTTTTTAAATATACCGGTTGATCCACTCTTTAGTAATGATATCAACCCCGGTGTTTCGAAAAAAAATCAACAAGATTGAACAATACAAAAACGAAATTGAAGAATATTGTTATCAACTATAGTCAACTCGAATTCAGTCACTCTTATTGGTGATTTTTGCCCTCAACTATGGCCTGCATTATTAGATATTTTTTACATTCGTTCTCCAGCTGAATTCAAATACTATTGAAGAGATTAAAGTTCAATTATGTATTGATAACATTCCATACAAAGCATTTACATGGAACTGTATACAGTGATGACGAGGAAACCGTCGAGAAACACATGTATTGTAATAAATGAATGAATTTGTTATTACAATACCTACAAAAATCAATGGAGGGGTCCGTATTTAAAACGAAATGTCGCATTGCAAATTGGTTTTATCAGATTTTAACAAATATGGAACAGTATTGTTCATATCATTCGAAATGGAGGCGGTAGAACCAAAAAACGAAATTTGACAATTCTAGTTTTTGGTGAACATTCCAAAACAACTACTGATAATCTCGAGCTGAAAAGAGACTATTCTAATCTACCAAAATTGGACACTTTTGTCTAATTCAACCGATTTTGTAAAAATGGTGAAAGAAGCTAAAAAACGGCTTGTACATGTTTTTTGCAGAGATCCTGTACACAATTTTTCAGTTCCTTCAAATGGTGGAGAGTTGGATTTCTAAGTGCCAACAAGTGTGAGAGAGAGAGAGAGAGAGATTACACAGAGAGAGAGAACAAAATTTGTGATGAACTTCTATTATAAAAAAAATGGAGTCAAGAACGGAGGAAAATAGGTTCAATATTTTTTTGGATGAATATTGCCACGAAATGAATATTAGGCAGAAGGGTAACCTCCCCGCATATACTACTTTATTCGAATAATAAAGTGAGTGTTTTCAAAAAGTTGTTTTCCATCATTTTCTAATTTTTCTTCTTCAAAATATTCCCCCTTGGATATAATATTTTCCTAGTTTTTGCAAAACACCGTCTATCATGGATCTCTTCAATCTTGGGAAAAAGAAAAAATCGCAGGGGACCAAATCTGGAGAATATGGTGGCCGAAGCATGAGTACGGTGTTGTTTTTGCCTAACAAATTACAGTATATTATCATGATACAAAAGCCATGAACTGGTTTTCCACAATACCGGACGTTTTCTTCGTATTGCTTCTCACAAGCTCCTATAACTTCAAGAAAGTATTTTTATTGGCAAGAATTTGTTGCGAATTCATGCAGATGCAGATCCATTTTTTTTCCTCAGCAGAAAATTGTCGAACACACAAAACACTCAACTTTAATGTATATTACCAAGAAACTAACCTTACTAAGCATCTGAATCTGTGAATCTGTGTGAAAAAATCGCTGATTGAATGTAAGTAGCCCGTATAATTTGAACATCCACCTTATTTTTTGAAAAGCTCACCTACACGTTGGTTAGGTAAGTA